GGCAACTTATGAAACCCGCACAATCATGCATGAGTCGGGTTGGAGTTCCGAGGGATCAACCCGCGACTCAGTTTCAGCAGACTTGATCAACAAAAGCACGACGCGCCTAGTTTCTTCGAGGCTATCTTACTTACTATCGGTTGATGTCGTGCAACATAAGGCAGATGGCATGCGCAGTGCAGTCGGAACCACAGATCTAAACACTCTTGCATTCTCGAACAAAATCCCATCGAGCGCTGAGTCTAATCAATGCAAAAAGACAAGCAACCTCCATACATACATCCACTGTGGAAGGTGCAAAAATGACAAGGACACACAGGTCAGAAATCATCGGAGGGATTTGTACACACGCATCCACCGTTCACAGGACAAGGGGGATCAAACCCTCGACATCTGGGGATTACCCAGGAAACTAATGGAAGAGTTCCGGAAGAAGTTCTTCCTTGAGAGGACTCTCGCGGGTTCGCCTCTGTTCACAAGAGGGACAAACCATCAATGCATCATCATTCAAGTCAGAGAGCGAGGGAGAGAGAGGGGTGGGAGGGATAGACAAGGAAAGTTGAGACAGAAGACACCAGAATCCGACACGAAAGTATTCGGCTTCACAGCCATGAACTCACACCCGAAAAAAAATGATCCGCAATGAAGGCGCATTCGCCGTAGAATTCCAATATGGCCCTGGGCCAATCATCCACTCAACTCCAATCACACATCCTCATACCCGCACCGACGATCCCAGCCATCGCGTGCTACCTTCCACCACTGCAATCGTCACCCCGCTGACGTAGGCTCGACTCAGCTCGCCTGGATCCCACAGTCCGTCGTGGCGATCAAGCGCGCAACCGGCCAGACTACAGTCAGCCCGACAGAACTTTTCGACTCGCACCAAACACACAACCTAGCCACTGCTTCCCGGAAGCTGGCTTGCAAGTAGAAAACGTAAGAGAGCTTTGCGGGCGTGCTTGCGGAATTTATAATTGCGAGAGAGGAGATAGATGGGGGAAGAGTTAAAGGGGAGAAAGAGGTGTAAGGAGAGAAGGTTCAGCGAAGGGGGCTCAGGGGAAGCCATGTTGATCCTTCAGAACCCAGTGGTCAGCCAATCAGATTCGTCGCGCAATAGGAAGATTCTCTTACTCAACGCGTTTGATTGGTGAGCCATGGTGACCGGAGGATCAACCGGGCTTCGTGAGCCAAGGTTGATGAGCAAGAAGAGACGAGGCGCGAAAAGCAGCGCGAGACGGGTCCAAGATTCAGACGATCAAGAAAGGGAAACAGGCGCGTAAAAGTGAAGAGAGAGAGAAAGAGGGAAAAAACAGTTGCGATGAGAGAAGAACTTAAAGAGAAGGGGGGAAGAGAAAGAAAAGAGAGCGCGGGAGAAGAGTGGCGCGGGAAGTAAGGAGGAGGAAGCTCGCCTGCTCGGTGCCGACAACAAGAGAAAAAGGCACCAAAATAGTTACAGCTTGCCTATGCCCAAAACCAATTCAAAAATTGAAATCACCATATCCGCGCGCGAAAGTCGACGCGGGAAAAGAAATTCCTACGCCTCTCCGTATTCTCACAAAATTCCTAAAGTTTTCTCCGACGTGACCGAGAACATTCATGCAAGGAAAAAGATATGTCGGGCTCCGCTTATTCCGTAATTCCTAACTGTCGAGCCCGATTCCCATTGCGCTCGCTAAGGCGCGCATAATTTCCCGTGCATTTCTCGAATTACAAAAAGCAGAATTCCAAGAATCAATAGAACTTCCGAAAAATGGGGGCCCGAACAAGGCGCCTGAAATCAAGAAAGGCGACGAAGGTTCTGTGGGGTCGGTATGATATACCAAGGGGGTATTGGGTCAAGGGGTACAAAAGATAGCACGGGGTTGGGAAGTGGTTCGTCACATATGTGACGCGCAAGGGGTTCCAAAATTATGCAATCTCCTGATTGCATGAGAGCTCGAACAAAGGGAATACTAGGGAACGAAGAAACAGGAAGAAGTACAAGGAACGAAGAAGCAGGACGAAATAGGAGCTTGGATCAACATGATGAGCTGGTGACAATATCCGTGGCAAGATCTTCGTGGATCATGCCGGCTCGTGCGGTTTCAGATCCCGCTCTCGGCAACCCTGTCATATGCAACCCCCTGTCCTTCGAACTTCGGAGATCGTCTAGGTGGCACCATCATGGTCCATCAGGTCTCCGTGTGCTCTGCACCCCCAGTCTAGCGCAATCGGTCGAATCAAAGTATAAGTTGACGTCATCGTCAATGGCATGATCTTCGTGAAAACTGTTGATTCGTACTGCTCGGGGACACATGGCGGGTTTCAACGCCGTGTGGGGATGGGGAAGTAGACATTATACATGGAGGGGTGTCGACGGGGAGGGTTGGGGGGGAGTGGGGGTAAGTATCGGTCCATCCCTTCCTCCGTGATCGGGGGCTCTTTGTAGCAGATGATCCGGTGAAAGCGGGGAAACCGATCGCCGTTGTGAGGGAGGGAGGCGAGGTAGTCAGGGTAGGGGGTGGAGAAGGTGCGGAAGAGTGTCGCGCGAAACTGCTCGTGATGGCGACACGCGGGGATGGTCCCGGTGATTACGCAGTAGAGTTCTATTGCGTTACTCTGTTGCCACGCGACACTGAACAGGAGGACGTGTAGACAGAACGTGGGGTTCACGGCTTGAAGGGAGGGGCTGGGATGGACGGTGACGGCGAGACGGATGAAGTAAAAGTGCTCGAAAGTATTGGGAGGGAAGGGGTTGCGAGGGAAGGTGACGGGGGTAGAGATCTGGCAAAGGGTGAGGTAATCAAGGGGACGACGGGATAACGACCGGGGACGAAGGCCGATTCCCCGCATCGGTGCGTGGATGAACTGGGGGACGGGTTGGGGTGGAGGGGGAGGGGGATCGGCTCCGTCTCCGTTGTGATGTGCTCGGAGCTGTGGTTGCTGATCCACCATCTTCGGGCTCGGGGGGCTCTGGATCCCTGGTTGGGTCGTTGTTGATGCACAAGTTCACCCCCTTGGCGATCTCCAACTGGTTTTTCCCGGCGGCGATCTCTTCCCTTCTACGTGCCGCTTCGGGATCTTCCGCTTCCGTACCTGTACATGCCGCTTCCTCCGGCAAGTCCTCCCACTCCGATCCGGTTCCCTCCTCTTCGTCTTCTTCTTCTTCTTCTTCTAGCTCCTCCTCCATCCCACTCTGCTCTCCTTCGCTGTACTCACTATAGCTTCCTTCTTCCGATGTTTCTTCGTCGGCGTCGCCTTCTTCTTCTGTGGCTTCTTCTTCTCCTTGAAACACCTCCTCAGGCTCCCTCGGATAGAAGGCGCGATCAATGATTCCGTACGGTTTCAAGTACTCTTGTCGTGATGGCAAGGTGCTGTCACTCCCGGGTTCCTCCAAGCAAGCAGTCCACTGAAGATACGGTGTTAACGCCCTCGTGATGACGTGCGGGGCGGGACTGTCGTCGCTTTGCGAAACGATATCGAGGGGGAGATCGTCAACCAATTGCATGATCGGGACGATGAGTTCTTGAACGATAGGCTGGCGATGGCCTGGCCGCACCGATCCGAAGAGGAAACCGAGAAGATCACGTTCCACGTCCGTTCTCCAAGCCTGGATGATCAGCAGCTCGAGGTACTCGATGCACGCAGTCTGCTCACTGGTCCGCGTCCACGTCACCTGCACTCGGGCCAAGCACACAGACAAATCGACAAAGGTTTCGTGCCACAACCGCCAATGTCCAGGATCGAGGAGCGGAACGGCGAGAGGCTCGAGGGAGAAAGAAAGGCGAGGATGGAGATCGGATTGCCAGAAGGTGGGGAAAAAAAAGGGCAGATCGAAGGTGGAGAGAGGAGCGAGGGGAGCGACACGGTTCATTGGGGGCGTTGAAAGGGGATGAGGGTGGGGAGCGCGATTGCCAGCTCGCGCGGAGAAGTGCGGACGTCGAAGTCCGTCCCGGATGTCGGGAAAAGATTGTAACCTGGACGCGCGAGACCGTGATGCCAATCAGTCGATAACTGTTGCGCCCACTCCTTCGGCTCGTTCCACGGAATCACTTCGTCGCTCTTGAGGACCTTCTCGGGTCGGTGCAGTCGTGTCAACCCGTCAGCATTCCCGTGCCTCTCGTGCTTCCGATGACGAATGTCAAAGTCCATGCTCTGTAGCACTGTTGCCCATCTCCCGATCATGCCCGAGTAATCCTTAGACTTCTTCAGGGCTAATAGTGGCTCATGATCGGTAACCAGTGTGAATTTCCGCCCGTACAGATAGGCTCGAAAGTGGCTGATCCCCCACAGAGTTGCATAGCATCCTCTTGTCGGGGCGGTGTAATTACGCTTGCAAGCAGGCACCGACTTAGACGCGTACTCCACCACGCATTTGAGTCCGTCGGGTCCCACCTGGGCCAAGATCGCTGAGATTGACTCCGGCTGTCAGTCCGTGATGCGGACAAAAGGCTTCGCAGGATCCGGTCTTTTAAGGATCGGAGCCGAAATAAGGGCTGCCTTGAGTTTTGAGAACGCCTGGTCACACTCTGGCATCCAGATCAACCGCTGATCCTTTTTCAGCAGATTCGCGAGGGGATCCGCAATAGCCGCGAAGCCCTTGATAAACCTTCGGTAGTACGAGGCCAGGCCCAAAAAGGCGTGAACTTGAGTGATAGTTGTGGGCACAGGTGCGTCTATCACGGCTGCCACCTTTTGCGGTTCCGGTCTGAGTCCCTGGTCCATCACCACGTATCCCAAAAAGGAAATGGTGGTGAGAAAGAACTGACATTTCTCGAGCGCCACCTTGAAACCAGCATCTTTTAAAGCGTGCAGCGTCCACTCGATGTGCTGCACGTGTCCCTCGTAGGAACTTGAATACACCAGAATATCATCCATGTACACGATCACGCAATAATTGATAAATTGATAATGCTCTCGGCCAACCGTGTCTTCCGCACAAAGTTCTGGAAAGCCATATTCATGGCTCGGTGGAAGGTTGCGGGAGCATTGCAGATGCCCATCGGACACCGGACCCATTGCCAGGTACCTTCGAACAACACAAACGCCGTTTTCAGACGATCCTCCTCTCGAACAAGAAGGTGATGAAACCCATGTCGAACATCAAACTTACTGAAAAATTGAGCACTCCCAATTGCATCCAACAACTCATCAATCCGGGGAAGGGGATACACATCTTTGATCGTGATATCATTCAGCTTTCGATAATCGATGCATATGTGAATCCCTCCGGCCTTTTTGGGCACTATTACCACAGGAAACGACCAAGGTCCTCTTGCGGGTTCGATCCATCCATTAACTTCAAATTCCTTGATCCGCCGAAACGCGGACGCCCGTTGGGCTAGCGAGTATCGATAAGGAACGCAACTAATGGGTGGGTGATCCCCCGTTAGGATGGTATGCTCGATCACATTAGACAGTCCAATATCATTATCGCGCACACTCAATACCTCCACGTACCCATTCAAGACGCTAATTAGCGATCGTCGGAATTCCAGGGGAACGTGATCAGGCAGAGTGACGGTTGGTTGATCGGGTATTTCAAGAGGCATATCGATCCAATCCGCAGGCCGATCCCGTCGGTTGTGGACGCTAGAGAAAATAGAGCTGCTAGTGCGGACATAAAACACAGTCGCGATCATCTGGGATTCAACGGGACTAATCATCTCTGTCTCTTTAGCTTCAGCATCAGTTTTCGAATCAGCCGAGATTCCTTCCATTGTTAGTCCCGTTAGATCCACCATTTCCTGCATTAGATCGGGCACATCATCGACAGGAGCTCCGACTTCTTGTTTAATCAGAGCGATGGTCGCTCCTGTCGTAAGTAGTGATCTTGGAGGGGAAACAGAAACATCTAGATATTGTTTCGCCTGTTGATAGCGTGCTCGAAGGGAAAGTGTTTCCTCGTACAAGGTGCGAGGGGGTTCCAAATCGTCTGCCAGGTCAGATATTTGCAAAATGGGTTCTCCAAGAAAGATCGAAAAACTGACCTGGGTTTCCATAGGGGCGAGCGTGCCGTCTTCCGGATGGAAGGTTCGGGCGGCTCTGGGGATCATGCGAAACTCCTCGGGGGTTTCGTGCTCAAAAAGGTCGACCAAGTGTTTCCATTCGCTCTCGCTAGGCATTTCTTCCTCGCACTCCTGCTCTTCGAATCCACTAATGTCATCGGTGGATGGAGACTCCTCCTGATCGGGACCTTGAATCATCCCTATCCGAGCAGGGTTGGGATTCCTCTTTACTGTCCAGGTTGAAATCCGCAACGGAAGCGTCTGAGGCTTTCCTCCGGTTTGCGTGACCACCAATTGTTTGGAATCGAAATGCAGGCGGGCACCTACCGCCATTGCCCAAGGCAGTCCCAACAATACGGAATATGAGTGCACATCTATGACTAAGACGTTAACAAGGACGTGTACTCGTCCAACTTTCACGGCCACATTCTCGATGACTCCTACAATATTCATTGCTTCTTCGTCGGCAGAGACGTATTGGTCCTTGCCAGATTGAGGGAGAATCGAATTGATTCGTCCTGTTCTCTTCACAACGTCTAATGAAATGGCGACCGCAGAGAAGCCGGTATCGATGAGGGCGTTAAAAGGTTTGCCCCATACCTCACAATCACATTCAACACTTTTCCATAGCACTGGTCGAGCTCTCACGAGGTGATCTTTCTCTGCTAATGAAATGGCAGCTACTCGCGTTGCTTCGGGTTCACCTTCTTCGGGTTCGGGCGATGCAACTTCCTCTGCTCCTTCTTCCTTTTTCTTTTTCAGCATCCGTTGTATGTGCTGGTACGTAAAACACGTTTGATTCTTCTGACATTGTTGCAGCAGTCTGTCATTCGCTGCTTCGGATATGGTGAGCAAGTGCCCCACCAGGACCGGAACACGAATGTCCAGCTGCTTAAGCGTTCTTAGGACGTCGATTTCACCCGCCCGAAACTGCGGTTCGGGGTTAGATTCTCGTTCGACCCATTCAATATCGTCCTGAGCTGGTCGGATTGCTCCGATCATTCCGGCGAGATGAAGGTATTCGAGTGGATCGACCACATCAGCAGCGTCGGAGGAAGAAATTCCCGAAGTCGATGCAACTGTCATGGAGGGGGAAGGGAGCTCAGGGGTGTATGCGATGATCTTCTCGCTTCGGGCCGTATCCATTAATGCGACCACTCGTCCTTGATTCAGAGCTACGGGGGCTGTAGCAGGTGGGGGTTGATTTCGTTTCGGCTGCGGGCAGTCCCTGGCGAAATGCCCGGGCTGTTTGCAGTTGAAACACTCAATTTTCCCTGCCAGATTGGCTGTGTGAGGGAACTGCTGTGCATGTCCGGGTGCAGGCGGAGCAGGCAAAAGCGGGAACGATGCAGGGGTCGGTCGAGCAGGAGCCGGGTTGGGCTTAACTAATCTGTTCATTATCTGTTCCATTCGATCCATGTGAGCCACCTGCATCTGGACCAGGTTGCTCATCCATTTTGATTGTTTGGTGGTAGCTGTATGAATCATCTGTGCTAGATGCATGTTCGTTATGGGCCTTACGGCTACTGGGGAAGAATCTTGGGAGCTTCTGTGTTTAACCGTAGCTACCTGTTGATTTATTGAGAGGGACTGAGGAGGGGGGGGAAGGACTGACGGAATATCAGAGGCAGCCCCTGCGGGAAGGTCATGATCAGGCCGAGGGTAAAAACGTTCCACCGCTCGCAACCATGATCGTCTTTTCGCCGTGACATCTTGGATCGTGTCCGTAATGTCTTCGTCTCCCTGACTGATATATTTCTTGGTATCCGCCAGGTCCAACTCAAGTGCCTTAGCGATGATAGCAGATAGTTGGTGCGTTTTAAGGGGAACCTTTTTCTGCAACTTACCTTTTAACGTCGGACTTCGTAGATGATCGATGAACAAATCTCGGGCAGACTTTTCATCACGCCCGGATTTGTCTAACGTAGTTTGAAATCGATCCACGAAGTAGGGCAGCAATTCCCTTGGTCCTTGCGGTCGAGTCTTGAGCACGTACCAGGCGGCATCTTCGCTAACTGTGTCAAATCTAGCCAAGAAGGCTTGCTTAAAGGTGTTCCAGTCTACCCAYGTGTRTTTCCTAAACCAATCATGYGCTGYRTTGYGAAGCARCAARGTGAGGAYGYGGGGGAGATCTYCCKCGCCATACCCTTGAGCTTCGACGGCTTCCAACCAAGCTTTAGGGTGGGTGTGATTAGGAAAGAAGGGAAAAGGGGCGGGAATACTAACAATTAKCCTGGGAGGTGCTACWKTACCGTCTGCCATTGGCATAGCCGGTATAGSTGCACCAGATCTAGATCTSGTCACTGGACGATCTCGACGAGCGGGTTGAGGACTTCTTCTACCTCTCGCCAGCTCGACTTACTATCATCAGAACCGACACGTGTCGGCTCCGATACCAACCTCACGCCCTGTGCTGTCTTT